CGCAGGTGTCTATGGAACCTTTCAAGTTTCCCTAGTCACCTTGACGCCATAAAGATACTTCTGAGAGGAGCATCATGCCCAGGCAGGCCTCTCTGCAGCCAAACCAGTGTCTGTGCTTTAGAGGACCTCAGGGACTATTTTTGGTTGAAGACTTAAAAAGATTAGCTGTTAGAGCCCCCCATTAAAATGATCTTAAAAAAAGATTACCTCAATGTGGTAGATTATAATTGTCAGTTAGAGGATTAAGAGTGTAGGGGTGGAGTCTAGCTTGTCAATCAGATCATAGCCAATGAGGCCTCTGTGTGGGTGTGGCCTTCTGAGAATTCTGGGAAATCCAGTACTTCCTCCTTGGAGGGGGAGAGACATTCAGCTGACAAGACACATGGAACTACCCTAGTGCCCTGAGCAGGACTAGCCACATGGAAGCAACCAGCCCTCTGAAGCCAGAGAAGCCACAGAGAGACCCCTGCCAGCGCTGAGATGCTCACAACGCCAAAGACTTTCTACCCACTGGCTTGTGACCATCCTGCATTTGGCTTCACTGCATGTGTTTCGCAAGTCTGAAGAGAATTATATATATATCGGACATATGGGTTAATATCAGACTTATGACCTTGGACTGGACTGGGTTTAGATGTTTTCTTAATGTACAGTTACCCTTTACATAAAACTCTCTTTTATGCACATATGAGTTTCTATGGATTTGTTTCTCTAGTCTACTCCGAGTCCTACTAGTCTAGTCTGGAGTCCCTGAGAATCTGACATTTTGGTCTGTGATGTCTTTATTCTCACTTGGTAGGTGGGCATACTAACACTTTGAGAGAGGCTCAAGACTGAGATGGAGCCTCAGGTGGGGCCCCAGGAATCCTCCACCACACCTCTTCCAACCCAAGCCTCCCAGTTCTCCCAGTCCTCTGTGGGACCCACGAGACGGGGGCTCACTGAGTGTCCCCTGGTCTCGTCTGGACACGGTGCGCTTTACACTCCAGCTCCTCACCCCTCCGTCAGTGATTTCAGGCCCTGTGCTGAGCACCTCAGCATCCTGCCCCCACTCAACAAGACCTGATTTCCCTCCTTCGTGAAGAGGACGCGAGACCAGTAGGCAAGGAAAGACCATGGCAAGAGGAGAGATGACAACGCCTCTCAAGACAATCCCCAGCCTCCCTCAAACACAGGTTTTATACCAACTCCAAATGGTACTGCAAAAACACCGGAGCCTCCCAGCCATCGGAGAGCCAACGATGGGTCAGGAAACCCAACACTCGAAGAAGATGCCCACCTGCAGGACAAGTGCACAGGCACCACAGCCTAACCACCCTGAGAGCAGAAGAACTCCACGGTTCCATAGTAACAAGCTCCAACCCAGGGCCACCATCGATGGTTCCTGATAGAAGGGGACACAAATGTAGAACAAGTCTCTAATGCCTGAAAAGGGTCATCCTTACCTGGACCAGTAGCAACCAGAGGATGCCCCGAGCCTATCATCCTGAGATGCCCTTTCAGTTTGGAACTGAACTCACTCCTGGCAGTCACCTTTCAGCTAAATACGAGATCAACTCATTAAATAAACATTAACATGGGGAGTACAGCGCGCCTTTTAAATAATCTATGAGACCAAGCAGCCGATATTTGCCCCAAAGCAAAGATGAGGGGGTTGGGGTGGGGAGGTTAGATTAATGGAAACAGAACCACCAAGATGGAGCTAATGAGCCTGCCAACACTCTTATCAAAGGTGGACGGACCCACTGACCACTGACATTGAAATTCTTCAAGAGGAGCTGTCTTAAAAATTGAGGGTGGGGGCCAGATGCCACACCTCCCCTGTGATATCTCTCCTTCAGCCTGGCCCTGCTTTCAACACACACCCCCCCACACACACACACACCAGCATCTCCCTGAGGTCTCTCTCTTCCCTGAACCTCATGGTCCTGCAGACACCTGTCGCAACGCAGGGCTCTGGCTCCTGCCTCCCCTGGGAGAGAGATGACGAACTCTCGGGAGGCAGCAAAGGCCTGTTGTTTTCCCCGCTCCCACTGCCAAGCAGAAAGTGGGCCAGCGATGCCACCTGCACCCATGGGGCAGGATGAGACCCTGAAGCCCCTGACGATACGGATGGGCCTGGAGGAGTTCGGCCGGGGAAGAGCCCACCGCAAGGGGTTAAATGTAGTGTGGAGCTACTGTTTGTTTGTTTGTTTCTGTCGAGATAAAGTGTCCATACTTTTGATGGTTAGCAGGGGTGGGTGGGGAAGGGAGAGAAGGGTCTGTAATAGGTTCGAGGGCAGACAGGTGTTGACATGGGGGGCAGGAAGATAATGTGCTTCAAGAGGGAAATGTCAGGGGTGGGCGGTGATGGAAGAAGGCAAGCCATTTCCTATGATGTTAAAAAAAAAAAAGCAGGCAAGCCGTGAGGAGGTTTGCTAAGTTGCTGAATACAA